ATTTAGGTTTATGACCTATTTTGAGGTTTTTTTTTTTTTTGCAGTACTGGGGTTTGAACTCATGCTTGCTAGGTAGGCACTCTACCACTTGAGCCACTCTGCCAGCTCTGTTTTGTGTTTACAAGCAATATAAATCCACTCTCAATAAGACTATACTAATTCATGGGTAGTGCAGATACCTTTGCATGTGTGTGTGTGTGTGTATATATATTTGCAAATATATATACTAATTACTCCATCCTACCCCTTATAATATTGCTATTATTAATCTTACTCTATCCATAAACTATAATCATCTAACACATTGCTCACTATTTTGAAAAGTTAATTTAAAGATAAGAAAATAAAAAGATTTTATTTTATCTTCATTTATTTTTTTCTCTTATGCTTTTATCACATGTGAGTTATTGGCCTATCTTATTTTCCTTGAGAACATTTTTTTATTGATAACAGATTTTCTTTATTTTTGTCTGAGAAATTCTTTATAGAACTCTAGATGGTGTTTTTTTCCCCCTCTCAACATGAACATTTCACTCCACTCTCTTCTTGCTTGTGTGGCCTGGTAAGAAGTCTGATGTAATTCTTATTTTTGTTTCTAAAAATAGGTAAAGCATCTTTTTCTCTGGATGTTTTCAACTGTTTTCCTTTGTCTTTCTGTAGTTTTTGAGTATGTAATGCTTATGTGTTGTTTTGGTATTTATGTGGCTTGATGTTCTCTGAGATTCCTGGACCTGTCGTTTGTTGTCTGCTTATATTTTCAGAGAATTTTCTGCCATTACAACTTCAAATATGTATCTTCCTTTTTCTCCTCTCTTCTCAATATTCCAATAGGGTATATGTTACTCCTTTTGAAATTGTCCCATAGTTCTTAAATATCCTGCTCCATTTCTTCCAGTCTTTTTCTCATTGTATTTCAATGTGGGAGGTTTCTATTGTTATGTCTGCAAGTTTATTGACTCTTTGCTGCTCATTTCCAACCCATTGATGAACCTACCAAAGGTGTTCTTCACAAGTCTTTTACAGTTTTGATTTCTAGTCCCCTTTTTGATTCTTAGTTTCTAGCTCTCTACTTACATTAGCCGTCTGCTCTTGTATGCTGGCTACTTTTACTAGTAGACTCCTTAGTATACTAATCATGGTAACATTAAATTCTATTTCTGGTAATTCCAAAACCTATGTCCTATTTGAGTTTATTTCTCATGTTTATTTTGTCTCTTCAAGACTGTTTTCTTTCGTTCAACATGCCTTGAACTTTTTATTATTGTTGTTAAAAGTCAGTTTCTGTTGTCCAGTAACAGGAACTGATCCAAACAGGTCATTAATGTGAGGTTGGGTTAATCTGGCCAGGAGGTAGACTGTAGGGTTCCTAGAAATAAAAAGTCATGTGTGTATGTATATATGTATGTGTGTGTGTGTGGGGGGTCACCTAAGGTTCACATTGCACTGCAAGTAATTTTTCAAAATTACTAGTTAAGTGTTCCTACCAGTTTATGGCTCCATTGCCTTCTATTCCTTTAAGCAGATCTGACTTTCTGTAATTGCCTGTTTCCCTAGCTTTCAGGGGTATAGTTTGCCCCATGACTTCAGTTTTCTGATGGGTCCAGGAAAAGTTACTAATTTTCAGTTTGTTTAGCTGTTTTTCCTATTGTTAAGATGGGAATAGTAAGTTCCAAGCACTTGATAAATTCGAGCTGAAACCAAAAATCTGTACCAAGTTTTCTTTATTCAAAACTACGTGAGTTTCTTTGATGCTGATACCTGCAATTCTATTTTATTCATTTTCTCTACTGTATTCTATTTTATGAATATACCATGTTTTATTCAGTCTCTTGCTAATGAACATGTATGGTGTTTACAAACAGTGCTAAAAGTACCTTTGTGAAATCTCCTAATGCACATGTGCAAGAGTTTCTCTAGGACAGATGCCAAGGAGTGAGACTACTGACTTATAGTATAAGAACATTTTCAACTTCCCTAGATATTACCATGATGTTATATTCCATCAATAGTATTTGAGTTTTTATTCTATATGTTCAGGACTTGGCATTGGTAGGTCTTTGAATATGTCAATATCCTGGCTATTAAATGGTATACACTATTATGGTTTTATTTTACATTTTTATTACTAATGAGATTTCTTAAGTTTACTGGTCATCCATGACTTTACCTCTGTGAATTGCTCATTTATATCTTCTGGCCATTTTATTAGGTTGTTTGTGTTTGTCCAGAATTTAAAAATAACTTCTACAAATGAATATGTAAAGCCAAAAAAATCAAATGATGGGCAAAGAAACAGAAAAGCTAATTCACAGAGGGTTGGTGAAGGGCTGATAAATGTTGAATACATGTATCACTTCACTGGAAATCAGGAACATGAAAATTAAAAAAATCAGATAACTTTGCAAACCTATTGGGCTGGCAAAATTAACAGTTTAATACTATGAAATCTTGGCAAAGATGTAAGGGGGAATCTCGGAAATCCTACTTATTGGAAGTAGAAAACATACATATCCTATATTATAATAATTCCTCTTCTAGGTATATAATCTTTAAAATGTCAACAGGAGCAGCAGCATCCCCTGGGAACTCGTTGGAAATGCAAATTTTCACACCCTAATCCAGATCTGCTGAGTCAAAAATTTTGGGGGTAAAAACCAGCAATCTGTGTTTTAATAAGTCATTCAGGTGATTCAAATGTACACAAATATGGGAGCCATTAGAGTGATACTGCCCCAAATTTTTTGATTAAGATCTATAGGAAGAACTGTATTTTATGTTGTGGCTCACATGTACCTCTTTTCCCCTCTCCTCATCCTCTCTTCTTTTTCCCTTCTTTCTTGAACCCCTGCCCAAACAAAATATAAACTTTAAGAAATAGTAATTACACTAAGTGTATGAAATATACTTTGATATTTTCTATTGTATTCCACTCAATTTTATTTTTATTGTTTTTTTGGTGGTGCTGGGGTTTGAACTTAAGGCTTGGTACTTGTTAAACAGGTACCCTACACTTGACCTACTCCCTAGCTATTTTATTTTATTTTTTAAAAACTTGCTGGTTGTGACCTACTAATTGTAACCTAAGTTTCAAAAAAACTGTCAGAGAGAAACTCTTGCACATATTTGGTAAGAGATATGTAAAAGAACATTTGTAATTATTATCTGTAACAGGAAAATCATGGAAAGGACAACTCTTCAGGAAAATTGACAAATGAATTATGGCATATCTCTACAGTGGAATACTAAATGGTTCCTTGGATCATTAGAATACATTTCAAAAACATCAGGTATATTGAGTTATAAAAAAGTTATAGCAAGATATGGAGAGTATGACATCATCTATGTAGTTTCAAAATGTATAAAACTATGTATTTACAATTACAGATGCTCTTTGACTTATCATGGGGTTACATCCTGACAAACCCTCTGTAAGTTGAAAATATCATAAATTGGAAATGCATTTAGTACACCTAATCTAAGGAACATGGTAACTTAGCAACATAGTACACTGTCAAGTAGCAGCTATTTACCCTCATGGGAAGGAAACATGGCTGATTAGATGCTGCAGCTTGCACAGCATCACAAGAAAGTACCATACTATACATCACTAAACTGGAAAAAAGTCAAAATCCAAACCTCAAAGTACAGTGTCTACTGAATGCATATTGCTTTCACATAATAATAAAGTAAAAAAAATTGTAAATTGAGCCATCATAAGTCAGGGACATCTATATATAGATATGTAGTAAAGACATAAAAATGTACATGGGAATGGATATAACAAATTCTGGATAGTGGTTACAACTGGAAAGGAAAATGAGGTTGGTGAACGGTTCATGGAAGTCTTCAGGTGTATCTGTAATTCTCTACTGTTTTTTTAGTTAAGTGAATATGGAAACTATTAAGAATTGATAAATATGGCTGGCTAGTTAAGGTGTTTGCTACTTTATTCTATACAGCCTTTGGTATATTGCAATGTATTGTAACAAAAAGTAAGTAAAAACGAAGCTACCCGGAACAAACAACAATAACATATTAGAAATTCAATCACTCAAAGGAAAGTACTTTAACATCTACATCATTCACAATGACTGTTAAAAAAATCTGGAAAAGTCTGAAATTGGTGTTTTTATTTTTTTCATAGGACTGGGGTTTAAACTCAGGACTTTGCACTTGCAAAGCAGGCAGATGCTTTACCACCTGAACAACACCTCCAGTTCATTCTGCTCTGGTTATTTTGGAAACTGGGTCAAAACACTATTTGCCCAGGCTGGCCTCAAACCATGATCCTCATTATCTCAGTACCTGGCTGATTTTGTTTTTTAAAGTAGACCTATAATGTTCTAGGGGCTTGTGCTGTTTCTTTGGGTAACATCGTAATGAAGAGTATTTCATTCCTAGCATGAATGTGAAATAATGATTTGATCAATAAAATAAGGATTACATACAATATTACTTGCTTATAGGTTTGTCAGTTTCTCAAAACTCAGAGGACCGGTGTTCTTACTTTGCTGCTTTGCTAACAGTAACTTAAATCATGTGTTGTATGAAAGCCAGGTGAAACATTCTGAAGATAAAACTCACATGAAAAAAGCATTCTGAAGAGGAAACTTACATGGTAACTAACAGTTAACCCTTTTCACGGCATCAAACACCATGGCTACCAGCTATGGTAATAATAGATTATTATTAGCCTAAGGAAATTGGAGTTTACTTTTCCTTCAATTCAGGGTTTTTATCTAATAAGTATGGACTAAAGTCTCATAAAGATTTCTTTAAAATTCTAAGGGTAGTTTAGGACCTAAGGAAAGCACAGAGAACATCACAGGAAATATGCTACTTATGTAGCATGCAGAGAATAATCAAGGTCAAGGACAAATAGAATCACCATGCCTATGTCATAATCTTTGGTAATCAGAACTAATTTAAAAGTATTACTCTAGGTAGAGGTAAATAAAAGTGAAAACAACCCATGTTGTTTTTCTTGGTTTGGCCTATACCTTGTTTGGTTCCCCTGGATTATATGAAGAAAACATAGGAATTTTTCGGATCTCCTCCTCTGACAAACGATTTCTCTGGATTTCATCTTCTGGGACAAATTCTATTGGCTGCGTCAGCTTCTTAGGCCCAGTCCAACATTGCTCAGGTGAAAAATCAATAACTTTTGCCACATGGAGACTGGGACCTTTACCCTGTGCTGCCTGCTTTCCCTTGTCCTGGAGTAATGATGGGTTCTCAGCTGTGCCACTATCACCCACTGATGTAGCTGAGACCAGTGAGTGGGAAGCAAAGGGTTCACCTCTCATAAGTTGGAACTCTTCAAGACGTTTTTTCATTATCACCTCTTGGTAAAAACTTTCCAGGTTGTTCATGGGATCACCTTTGTTCTTCTTTTGGGGTTCATCTGGATCAAGACAAAGAAATAGGGAAGTTCTACAAAGCCTACCAGTACAACTTTGACAAATTAATAAAAATTAAATTCTGGATCTCAGATACAGAAATTCTTCTAGGAAGGGTCTCTTTACAACCTGTGACAAATGACAATCACATATAGCTATGTTATGATAGTGCATCTCAAGCAAGCCAGAACAATGGCAAGCCAAGTGAGGCACTTAGGACTCTCTAGATCATGCAAGTATATGCACCTCTAACTGATAAGGACATTTGAAAAATATAACCAGTAGGGCATATCAAATTTTAGGAAATTAATAATTCCTAGTATCATCTAATATGCACTGATTATTTAAAACATCTTTCTTACACAGGGTTACTTAATCCAGGATCTAAATAAATTTTGGGCTGTTAAATCTCTTAAATCTTATATTCTAAAATGGTGCCTGTTACTTCCAATCTCTCTAGTTTGTTTTCTCCCTCATCCACTGATTTATAAGAGAAGCCATTATTATGTTCTACAAACAAATGAATTTGATGAAGTGTTTCCTGATGGTGTTAACTTGTTCCTCAATTTCTCTATTTCTTGGCAGTTAAATATAGAACTATACTAATCTGATACCACAGCCACTGGACATGTGTGTTTAATTAATTTTTCATATCAAGTTCTTAGTCAAACTTAGTATGCTTCAAATGTTTAATAGCCATATGTGGCTACTGGATGTCACTATAGGACTGATAAAGACCATTTACATCATTACAGAAAGTTGCATTGAACAGTGCTGATCTAAAGGTTTGATTAGATTCATGTTCAATATTTTTAGGCAAGAATCATTCATATATAGATGTGTACTTCCTATTGCATCGTGATGTAAAGTCACATAATTTTTGGTGGTGGTCTTATTTTTAGTAATGCTGAAATTAGCCAGTGGATTCAGGTCATATTATTCTTGTCCTTCCATAATTATATTTTCCCATTCACCTTTTACCTAATGGGTAATATAAAATTCTATCCATTGATACTACTGCCTAGATCTATTTGTTTATTAAGAGCTGCAAAACAGAGCTTTCCTAACTCTAGTATTTTTTTTTATATTTGTTATCTGGCATTCTATAATGAACTTACCGTTATCAACTATTTAGTTTCCTTAAATATAGTTTATATAGGAAAGGCAGGATAAATGCTTGATTCCTTCCCATTCTTTATCAATTATGAGAGTAATGAGTTAGTGCATTTCTAAAAATGTCTAATAGTGACTAGTGGTTTTTTTAGTATAATTATGAAATTATGTATTTTCATATATTTCAATTAAATATAGCCATTTTTTTCTAGTGCTCAAATTATCCCATTTAGGACCAGTAGGAGTCCTTTCAAATCAGCTCCCATATTGCTTCCAGATTGTCTGGCACAGAAAGATAGCCCAAGTTTATCTTGCACATTTTAACTCAAACCTGGAATATTTCTCCAAGGAACCTTGATTCCTTTTAATGAAAAGTTGTACTTAGAAACCATGTGTTCATTGCTATCGAGCTGTTGCTGCTTCTAGGCCTTTACAGTAGGAAAAGCTGGGATATTTTGTAAGAGGAAAACAGAACTTGAATTCACATTAGTATTATGAATTCAAATTTAATTTCCTAAGGTTTTTACTTAAATTTCCTGACTTTAGGCTTATATTTCTTTTCCTTTATGCTTAAGTCATCAGTTCTATTTTTTTCTTTCTTTTTTTTTCTCATAGTGCTGGGAATTGAACCCAGAACCTCTTGCCTCCTAGGAAAGCACTCTAACACTGAGCTATGTGCCTGGCCCTTCAGATTTTAATAATATTATAAAAATTATTCATTAGCTTCTTCCTACAATATATGTATATAATAATAAAATTTCCAAAATAATACTAATATAACTATCAACATAAAACCACTGGGCACAGCATACATACATATGTATGCATGTATGTATGTATGTATGCATGTAGATATGTATCTATTTGGAGTCGGGGGGAAGGTACTGGGGTTTGAATTCAGGGCCTCGTGGCCTCTTGTTTGCTAGGCAGGCTCTCTTGCAACACCCCTAGCCCTTCTTGCTTTAGTTATTTTTCAAGTAGGGTCTTGCTTTTGCCCTAGAACAAGATCCTCCCATCTATGGTTCCCACATAGCTGGGGTCGTGTGCACACACCACCATGCTCAGCTTTTTGATTGAGATGGATTCTTGCTAACTTTTTGCCTGGGCTAGCATCAAACCATGATCATCTGTATCTCTACATCCTGAGTAGCTGGGATTACAGATGTAAGCCACTGTGCCTGGCCTCTTTTATATTTTTTGCAGTTGCTTTGTCCTTAGAATATACTTTATAAGGGATATACAAGTGCTGCTTTAAAGTCACTACAAGTAATTATTTTCTCTGTGTGGTTATGATACGAATTTTATTTATCATTAGGTTCATATGCTTCAGGTTGTTTTTGAATTATGTTGACTTATCCCCCACTCCTTTTTTATAATGCAAGGGATTGAACTCAGGGCTTTATGCATGCTAAGCAGGCAGTACTATGAACTACATCCCTCAGCCTCCTTTCTTTTTTGATTAAATTTTTAATTATACAAAACATTTACATGAATCTAAAGTGAAAACTGTTATACAGTACCTTCACAGATGTGTCACTTAAATCTCTGTCACCTTTATTTATTCCATCCTCTTCCTTCCCCATAAATAATGTTTTATTAATTTTGGCTATGGTCCCATTGTTTCTTTTTTTAAATATAAGCAAATAGGCACACACACATACACACACATAAAATTCATTAGTTATACCCCTCTCCTATGTAAACATAACTTACTTTTTTGTGGTGCTGGGATTTGAACTCAGGGTCTCATGCCATAAAGGTAACTTCCTATAAACACTGTTCTGCAACATACTTTTTTGAACTTAGTAATATAGCCTACAGATCATTCCATATTAAGGTGTGGAACTCTTTTTTCTTCTTATACCTACACATTACTCCATTGTGTGGATGTACAATCATTTCTTCAATTACTCCCATACTGATAAACATTGGTTTATCCAATCTCATGCTGCTATGAATAATGTCTTGAAAAAATAGCTTTGTGTGTATAGGATTTGGCATTTTTCAGAATGTTTGAAATTGATTCTATGAAGTGAAATTGCTGAGATAAGGAGTAAATAAATGTATATGTAATTTTTCTATATGTTATTAAATTTCACTCTGTAGAAGTTGTACTATTCTGTGTTTCCACCAGCAAAGCATAAGAATATTTACAGAAGTATTTAATACACAAAAATGTTAATCATGAGAAAAAAATTGGCAAATTCAACTATATTAAAATTAGGAGCTTCCGTTCATCAAAATGTCATAAAGAGATGAAAAACCAGAGCCACAGAATAAGAAAAGGTATTTACTATACAAATAACTATCAGATAACTTGAAACCAGAATATATAAATAACTCCTGTGGATCAATAAGAGAAAGATGAGCAACCACTAGGAAAATGAGCAAAAAATTGAAGAGATGTCCCACAAAGGAAGAAACACATATAGCTAACAAATATATATGTAAGTGCTCAACTACTTCAGAATTCAGGGAAAAATAAGTTAAGAAGGAAACGAGATACATAATAAACTGACATACCAAAAAAATGTAAAATAATGCAAATACCATATGTCAGTAAAGCTGAAGAGCAAATGAAACTAGATGAATATACTTGAAAATACTTACTCAATGACCATTATATGAGCCAGACACTTCTAGACTCTTGTGTATACCAATAAACAAAAATACTGGGACCTGTTGAGCAGGACAACAACTAAGATCCTCTAGCAATTTCTCCCCACAGACACACCAAGTTGAACAGCTATTCACGCACCAAACTACCAGCACAACATCTAAGGAAATCAGGAGAGAGACCACAGTGCATGCTTTGAGTATAATAAAATGAAAATACACATTGAAGAAGGCAAGAAGGAAAGAGTTGCTATTTCACCTACAAATAGCTCAGTCTGGAGAGAGACTCCTGCTTGGGGGTGGGGAGGGAAGAGAATCAGGCCCAGGTCTTAAAATTGAAACCCAGTATCTGGCCCACCATGGCAAAACCTTATGCTGGGCTAAGCCCCATGACCTTTACTTCCAGGCCAATACCTGAGGATAGGCCAGGAGGCAAAGAGACTGCCTCTATCACTTCTCCTCCAACCTCAGGAGGCAGGACTCCACCTACCTGCTGGGGAGCAGGGCATGAAAGCTAGCACAGGGCTTTCTATCAGAGCCCATGCCAGGTCCACCACAGTGAGTCCCAGCACCTGTATGTAGGTCAGAGCTCACAAATGGCATCAGGCAGATACCAGTGTACCTACGGGACAGACTTGAATTTTACCCACATCAGTTCCAGTCTTGTAGTGGGCCTAGGGAACACCCACCATCCAATGGAAACTGTGCAGTCCTTTGCAGCTGTGAGAATCAGATGCAACCCAGCTTAGCACCAGCCATGATAACCAATGGCTGTTTTCCACCACCCATGCCCCAGTTTTGGGTTGCACTGCTGTTGCCAGGCCAGTGCTCACAGATGGGGCTCTAGAACTGCCTTGGCACCAGGTAAGGACCTGCATCCCAGTAAAACAAACTTGTACTTCAGCCGACATCACTGAAGTGTGAACCCCAGTGAATCCCTGAGACTGTTCAGGTCCTTACAATTGTGATACTCAGGCATGACCCAGTTTAGGATTAGCACAGGTGGCCAAGGGTCTGCCTTGACAAACACTATACCAACCCATTGATTAGGGGTAGGGTGGTAAGCACACAAGTTTCCTCTGGAACTAAGAACTAGGCTGGTTAAACTAACACTGGGCATACCCTAAGGGCCCCCAACCCCAGGCCTGCCTGCTGTTTCTTTGAAAGTTTTAACCAAATGACAAAACCCTAGCTAAAATGGCCAAGAAAATGAGACAAAAATGACAAGATTGAAGAATTAAAGAAGAAGCATTATGGGCTGGACGTGTGCCTCAAG